AAGTCAGCGAAAGTCAGCGACGACGAGTGCTTCCTCGAGGGCCAATTAGCAACGGCAGCAGTTAGCAAGAATGGCTAGCGAGAGCAGGTAGCAGGAGCGACTAGCAAGAGCTAGAGTGACGATTCATGGGCCTTGACGACAAACCACCTAAAGGCCACAGAGGTGGAAGATAAGCGCCACACTATAAAAGCAGTAAGAACACACTTCTAGATTTTTTTCCCACATCACTGGTGGATTCTCTCACATTTTAAAAATTGTCGAAGATAATAATCGGCATAACACGTTAGTCCCTCACCGTGTGGCAATTGCACTGAAAAGTAATCCCGCTGCATGCAAGTGTTTTTTTTTTTTTTTCCCGAGGCGCACTAAATCTTAGCATGAACAATGCGCCTAAAGCTTGTATTGCTGTGAGCTTTACAGGCAACCTGCAACGAGGAGCCTGTGAAGAGGCCATTAGAGCTTCTGTTATTACCGCGTGGTTGCAGGTGGCATCCTGGAACAATCACCTCGTCACATTATGCTGAGCATTAACCTGTTGACCGTGTTTATCCGCCAGCTCTTCATCAACAAGTTCCTGACGATTACAAATAAATTAACACCAGGAGAGTGCGTGCGACCGAAAGCCAGCCGGTGAGTGATGCGCCAGATATGATTTTCCTTAATTAACACGGCGTAATAAAAAGGGAAGTTAAGAGCGTAATGGCTGCGCGGCGACAAAGAGGGAGCAGCGGGAAGAAGATAAACATCGTCCAGCATTTACATGGATCATAAATCTGCTTAGGAACTTAAACAAGTTGCTCTGGGAAGGAAGGAAGTTTATCAATGTTTGTTGGCATATGTTCACAAGAAATAGGTGATATATGGCTTAAATGTCTGCTGGAAGATCATTTTTAGGGGTCTTAAGGAGAATGGACTTATTAAATTGACTTTACACAAATCGTTGGGTCTCAAGTGTGAAATCAAACCTCATGCAGAAAGTATCTTTTGTAACTATTTGAAAAACGGTGTTGGTGGAGGTTGGTGATAGACGCGGCATGTTTAGTTTGCTGAAGCTGAAGAATATTTTTTTAAATTCTGCTACTGGTTTAACATTCAGTGAATGGTGTGGATCCTGAATACAACAGAGAAAAGCTGATTGAATCTCAACCTGGTGGAGCGTTTACAGGAAAGAGGAGAGAGGAAAGTAAGTTCATCTGTGCAAACTCGGTGAAGTGGCATTTAGTCGTTATGCTGCACGCAAGTGGAATAAGCTGCCAACAGAAGTGCACTCAGCCCCGAGTCAAAGGTCTTGCGTGATTAAGGTCTTTAAAGAATTTAAAATCAATGTCACTGTCAGTCATTTTAGAAAACAACTTTTTATTTCTTTCTAGCAACTTTGCCGAATACGCCTTAAAAAAGGTGCACCCGAAGTAAATTTGTAGCTGTTCATGAACCATTTGGAGTATCAGCATAGTTTTGGTCTCTTTTTGAAATATTCAAAATGATATTCTCCCAAACAGTCGGAATCTGCGTTAGTGCTCCTGTCACTGAACTATAGATGTTTGAAGACAGAAAAAAAGGCCAATCATATGTTCGTCTAATTTCTTTTCACAAAATCTGCCTTGAAAATGAATTTGGAATGTTGATTAGGACTTGAAAACACAACAGGATCAAAGCTTGAGGTCTCCCAAGTTCCAGTTCAAATTTGACAAT